TTTAATCTATTGTATGCTATATAACTCTTGATATTAGTGCTGAATTATTTGTTATTTAGGTACTGAATTATCATTCAATAAATATATCTTAGAATCTCGAGTGAAAGGAATCCATTAAATGAATATAATGGAAGTACATCGTAAGACCATGGTAATTTTGCAAAATATATTATGACTAAAATATGAAGTTAGTGATATATGAAATCCAATCCATGCTTTTCATTATCATAATAAATTTATATTTTGTCATCTTGCTAAATTTTCATGAATCCAATTAATTAAAATCACATGAATTGTAGTTGTAAATTTGTGAATATTTAGGATTATTGTTTTTAATTGGGATAACTTAATTTACTTATGTATCACCACTTCCTGTGGAGACGACAATCTTTTATACTACATCGAAACTTGGTACACTTCAAAGCATTATGACGATGGTTCACTGGATTTGGATGCTTTGAAGGATGAGAGTTCAAATGATGGTGAGAGGGGTCGTGATCTAACAGCAGAAAACACAACTAAAAAAAAATAGTGACCAAAGATGGTGTGGAAAGCATGGAGGAGGGGAAACAAGGGTGGATTATCGGGGACAAAATTTACGTGATTTTGTGTCAGACATTGCACAATATCAGAAAGAATTTGAAAGTATGAAATCAAATTCTATGGAGAATATAGCATATGCACGAATGAGAGATATTTCAAATTATGAAGTGAATATTAATAATGGCTTATTTTTAATAATAATATAGATGTTATGCAATTGAGTGATGATGTGTTTGAAAAAGAGGCTGAACTAAGGTGGGCCTTTGTTGGTCAAAATTTATAAAGAAAGGAATTGGTGGGATATGAGAGCTGATGATAGATTATGGCAATTGGGTGTCATTGATAAAGAACCAATAAGAGGCAAGGATGTGACACAAAAAGAGTTTATTGGCCAATTTGATGGCCTAATTATTGGGCCTTCTCATGAGTCAAATAAGGCTAATCACATATTGAGTCAAGAACTAGATTCTGTTAGATTATTTTAATAATCTTATTATAGTGGTCTATGTAACTTATAGCATGACTCTAATTAATGATTTAATGTGATGGTGGTTAAATATAAAATGTAGAGTCATTGAGGGTATAATTGTAAATACAATTATAAGGAAACCCTCCCATCTCCCTTCATATAAATTAAAGAGCGGTTACCAAATGAGGATTACGACATTCCCTATTTTTCACTTTCACAGTTTCTGAGTGAGCTCACGGTAAATGCATAAAGGAACTTTCTCTCAACCATCCGAGAGGAGCTCAAAGAGGAAGGAAGAGTTGGAGAAAATACCAAGAAATCAACGACATCAAAGAGAGAGGTAACATCAAGGAACAATGGATTCAGGTTAGTGCTCTTTAAATCTTTAATTGTATGAGAACCATATATTGTGTTGTGAGAGCAACGTAATTCAAGATCTCAAAGGGAAAGTGTAATTTCATAATAGTCATTGCATAATAGAAATTACATAATGGATTAAAGAAAATTCTAACAGTTGGTATCAGAGCTTGGTTGTGAATTTCGTTGATTCTCCATAAGAGATTGGTTCTCCATTAAGGTTTTTCCCAAATTACATGAACCATAGGTATTTTATATGATGGATTGACATTATTTTGATGTTGAATAATTTTTTTGGATTCAATAATTGAAAACCCTAAGGTTTTGAAAGCTAGAAACATTGGATTTTAAATCTGTAATATGAGCAGGGTCATGTATCAGTGAGCAGGGCCATGCATCAGGGAGCAGAGCCACGTATCAGGAACAAGCACGACCATGCTTCATCGAAGCACGACCTTGCATATTGTAAGCACGGCCATGCATCAATTAGAAGCACGACCATGCATCAGGAAGCACAGCCATGCTTCAGGAAGTAGGGGCATGCATCAGAAATGAGGATGACCTTGCTTCATCGAAGCACGACCATGCATTAAGTAAAAGCACGGCTGTACATAGGAATTTTACAGCAGAATAAGGAATATAATTCATAAAATATATAGATAATTTTAGAATTATATCAAAGTGAATTTTACTCACCAAAGTGATTAAATTCTCAAGTTAGTTAATTCTAAATTCCATTATCATTATGAGAACTTTACAATTTAGTGCTTAATTTTAAGGGTAGCTTGTTAGTCACCAAAGTGGCCTGGCTTTAAAAGTTCTTTAAGCATTTAATTGTATGTTGTAAATTGTTCAAAATTGTTTGATGCTATATGAAAACATAAAGAGTGAACAATTTAGCTCATTAATTATAATGCTAGGAGATCACCTAAAGGTGGATCATTGCATATGATTAATGACATTAAGGAGACATGTAAGCACTTCATAATATGTTTGTATATCCAAAGATGACTAGCATATTGGTTTGAGTGACTGGTTGTCAATTAAAGTTGTTTATTAGCATCATTATAGATAAATTATGTATTTAGTCGTTACCCAAAGATAAACTTATATGCATAATTGATAATGGTTAGCTGTCTGAATCTATTAAGTTTATTCAAAGCATAAATGTTTAAGCATGTATTAAATGGATTCAGTCCCTATGAATATGTATGGCATGAGCAATGGCGTAGTCAAGTTCAATGAGCTTAATTATGATGATTGGGCTGAACAAGTTCAATTCCAACTAGGTATTATGGACTTAGACCTAGCAATCATTTGGAACAAGAGCCTGCAACCATTACAGAGACCAGTACTAAAGAGGAAATGACTATTCGTGAGGCTTGGGAAAGGTCGAATAGACTGAGCTTGAGCTTGCTGAAAATGACTATGGCTGAAAATGTGAAGCCATCAATGCCAAAGAATGAAAATGCTAGGGAATTTATGGCAAAGGTAAAAGAATATGCACAATCGAACATTACTGACAAGTCCATTACAGACACCCTATTGACTGAGCTGACTACTAAGAAGTTTGATTGGTCACGGCCCATTCATGACCATGTGACTGACATGATCAATCAAGCGGCAAAGTTGAAATCAATGGGCATGGAGGTAAAGGAATTCTTTCTGGTATAGTTCATTTTGAACTCACTCCCTCCTGAGTTTGGTCAATTTCAGGTGAATTACAACACCATTAAGGATAAATGGAACATATAAGAAATTAAGGTCATGCTAGTTCAGGAGGAAGGGAAGTTGAAGAAGGTGAAAGAACACTCCATCCATCTCACATTTCATGAAGGGGCTAGTAGTAGCAAGGTTAAGCCAGGTAAGAAGGACAACAAGGACAAGAAGGATAAGACCTTATTAAAGGTTCGTGAAGGCCGAATCCAGAAGGGGCAGAGGTGCTTCTTCTGCAAGAAGACTAGTCACTTCAAAAAGGATTGTCCGAAGAGAAAGGTTTGGTTCGAAAGGAAAGGTATAAAAGAAAACATGATAATCAAATCCATAAACACAAAGGAGAATTCAAAAAAGAAAAACCCAAAAGAAAAAAAGATGAAAAAAGTTCTTGTTCACCTAAGGGTGCTTAATCACTTGCTTGGACTCCAAAGGGGAGCTCGTAGTCTTTGTCAATGATCTCTAATAACTCTCAATGCTGAAATAAGTCAGAACTAAAAGGAGAAAAAAAATGTGTAGAAAAGGTAGAATAAAGTGTGTTTCTCCAAGAGTATAAGGTCTCTTTATATAGAGGTGTGTCATAAGTTCTCCGGTTGTCACTCGATCTTAAGCAGTTGAGCTTTATCCTTTCGAATTGGTTTTGTCCATAATCAGAATCTCAACTGAAATTTTTATTTAAATTTCAAATTTGAATCTGGATCAAAATACCTGCAAGGTTTGAATTTGAATTTAAACTTTTGACTGCAGATCCATTCATCACAGTCGTGCGCCCTCATCTAGCATGGTCGTGCTAGACAATGAAGCATGCCCATATCTAGTGTGAAGCACGGTTGTACTTAAGTGCAAGACTAGCTGAAATTATCCAATTTTTGTCTAAACAATTCTCATAATACATCAATAGTTCTCCTATGCTTAACTGTAAAAATTAATAATAAAATTCGTGAGAAACCTCCATAAAATAAGCTCTAATTACACAATTAAGCCATAAAATATATTAAAATATACACTTATCAATGAGCATACACTAAAAGCAATCAAAAGAAAAGAAAATGAACAAGTAATTTTATTTATTTTTATTAAAATACCTAATCACCTAATTTATAATTTTGTAGATATTGTAAAAATATAGTACCGAGCAACGATGCTAAAAACTTCTTGTGGATTTTAAATTTTTTAAAATATTTTCAACCAACGGACAAGTATACCTATTAATTTTAATAAAAGAGACGTTTCTCCTAGTATCGTTTCCAGGGAGACTATAATCATATTCACCTATTACTAATGTTTCTTAGATGTTTAAGCAATGCAATTGATAAAAGTATTTGATTGAAAAAAAATTAGGAAAATATAAAAGGAAAAGAAAAAGCGGAGAAATCACAAATTTGATTTATATGGATGAAAGCTTAGGGCCTTGGTTTCTTCTTATGAGTACCTATATGTTCTCCAACTCAATTTTATTCAATTATGCTAAAATAGTTACCAATCATTTAATTAATTGTTAGCATTGCCCAATGATCATGTAATAATGGAAGACTTCTTATTTATATGATACTGTAATGATCATAGAAAGCAACAAGATAAATAGGAGTATTAAGAAACATTAAAGTTGTTAAACTCAATTAACTAATTAAAAATATAGTGATAAATCTACATTTTTAATTATTTTTATAGCTTAATTTCATATGCTTGACCCTTATTTGATAGGGATTTGGCATTGATTTTGCTATGATTTGTTGTAGTCTTGCATGAGAAGATCACTAGCAAATTGAGAAAGTATTTTGGTCATAATTAGAGTGATGGTAAGTTGGGCCATGCTCAGCATGAAGCACGACTCTACTTAATAGCTAGCTTGAGGGTGTTTCGTAACTAAGCACAGTCATGCTTGATGGTATGTATGGTCATGTTGATGGGGGAGCGAATGGCTGCTACAGATTGTGAAGATGAGGCAATGGCGTCGAGGTTACTAGACATTGGCAAGAAGGTTGGTTTGGTTGTACATGGGAACGATGGGCAGGTTCGAGAGAAATTGATTGGGATGGAGGTACGTGATAGAACGATTGCGAAAGAACATAGAGTTTGCTTTGATTCTAAATGAAGATTGGCTCATTTAATTGTCGAGGGCTGGGGAGCGAGGTAAAGCAAAAGAAGATGTGTGAGATTGTTCGCTCTGAAGGTCTGAAGTTCTTGGCGATTCAGGAAACAAAACTTGAGACATGTAATAGTAACTTATGTGCGCGTCTATGGGGTTTTGTGGATTTTGATTGGTGTGTCTTGCCCTCCATTGGCAGAAGTAGGGGTATGCTTTCACTTTGGGATACTTCCAAAGGTAAAATACTTTTCTCCTTTTCTGGTACTGGATTTCTGGGTGTTTGCTTGCAGATATTGACTACTGGAAACCTATGTATTGTAGTGAATGTCTATGCATCGTGTAGACTAAGTGAGAAAAGAAAGTTATGGGATGATTTACTCATGACAAGAAAGGGTTTTGGCAAATTTATGTGGTGTATATTGGGTGACTTCAATGCTGTGAGACAGGTGAAAGAGAGGAAGGTTTGTCAGACAAACCATGGTATCTCTGAAATAGATGGCTTAAATTCTTTCATTCAAGAAATGGAACTTGTGGATCTTCCACTTGTGGGTAAAAAATTTATGTGGATAAAAGCGGATGCTTCTATGATGAGCAGACTCGATCGAGTCCTTGTTTCTAGTTCCTTGCTTGATTACTGGGGAGATGGTTTCATTCAGGTTTTGAGCAGAGATGTATCTGATCATTGTCCTATTATTCTTAAGCACAAAGTGGTTAACTGGGGTCTGAAGCCGTTTTGATTTAACAATTGTTGGCGACTCATAAAGGAGTTGTGGAAGTGGTGGAGGAAGCATGGAAAAGAGATATTACCCTTCCATGGGCTGCCCAGAGAGCTAGCCAGAGGTTAAGGAGTGTTAAGATTTCATTGAAAAAATGGACTATTGAGGTATTTGAAAATGTTGATAAGGTGATCTCTGATTTGACAATTGAGTTGAGTTTGATTGATAATAAAAATTCTGTGATGAAACTTTCCAATGTGGAGAAGGAGCGTCAACAAATATTAGTGGAGGATATTTGGAAGGCTAGGAAGAATAGGGAGAGTCTCATAGCCCAAAAAGCTCAGGTGAGATAGGGGAAAGAAGATAATTTAAATACAAAGTTCTTTCATTTGTGTGTTAATGGAAGGAGGCGACGAAATAATATACATGCACTTCAAATTGGGGAGAGATGTGTCGAAGAAGTTGATGAGATTAAAGTAGGTGTGGTGTCCTATTTTGCGGCTCATTTTAGTAGTAGAGGTTGGCTTTGACCTACTATTGATATTAATGATTTACCGAGAGTTTCTGTTATACAGAATGAGGGACTTGTTAATGCTTTTTTGGAGGAGGAAGTGAGAAGGATGATTTTGGAGTGTGAGGGAGATAAAAGTCCAAGGCCTGATGGTTTTAATTTTGTGTTTCTTAAAAGGTTTTAGGGAGTGATCAAGGAAGAAGTGATGTGTATGCTTACTGAATTTTTTAGAAATGGGAAACTACCTAGGTCTTTGTTATCCTACTTTGTAGCACTTGTGCCAAAAGTGTCTTGTCCACAACATATATCTGATTTTCGGCCTATCCCATTGTTAAGTTGTCTTTATAAGATTGTTTCCAAGCTTTTGGCAAATAGGTTGAAAGGGATTTTAGATTCCATAATTTCAGAAGAACAATCAGCCTTTATCCCAGGAAGGAACATGTTAGATAGTGTGCTTGTGGATAATGAAGCAGTTGATTATGTACGGAGGTATAACAAGAGATGTTTTGTGTTAAAGCTTGATTATGAGAAGGCTTATAATTCGGTGGAGTGGGGATATCTTTTTTTTATGTTACGTAGCTTTGGATTTTCAAAAAAATGGGTCAGTTGGATGGAAGCTTGTGTGTGTGGGGGTAGCCTATCAGTTTTGATTAATGGTTGTCCTACATTGGAGGTTCATATTGAGCGTGGCCTAAAACAGAGGGATCCTCTTGCCTTTTTTCTTTTTCTTATGGCAGCGAAAGGGTTAGGAGTTCTTATGCAGAAGGCTGTGGCTTGTGGGTTGTTCTCTGGTGTGAAGATTGGGATAGAGGGACCTGATATTTTTTTGCTGCAGTTTGCGAATGAAACATTGATTATGGGAGAGGTTTCGGTTCAGAACTTGTGGACTTTGAAAGCAGTATTGCGTAGCTTTGAATTAATATCAGGTATGAAAATTAACTTTCATAAAAGTTGTGTATTGGGGATTAATATTGGTGATGACTTTGAAAACTTGGCTGCGGAGTTCCTCCATTGTAAGATTGGTAGTTTCCCATTAAAGTATCTAGGATTATAGTTAGGTGTTAATTCGAGAAAGCCTAGTGCATGGAAGGGTGTGTTAGATGCCCTTATAAAGAGGTTAGCGTCATGAAAGCATAGGTATTTATCGATTGGAGGCAGGGTGACTTTGATTAATGCAGTTCTTAATTCTATGTCATTACACACGTTATCCTTTTTTAAGGTGTCGAAGTCAGTGATAAAGGAGATTGTCACTATCCAACAAAATTTTTTATAGAAGGGTGTTAAGGATGGATCTAAAATCTCCTAGGTGAAATGGGAAATGGTATATAGACCGCAGAAGAATGGTGGCTTAGGCATTAGAAATATGCAGTGGTTTAACTGAGCGCTTCTTGGTAAATGGTTGTGGCGATGTATTAATTGTTCTAGTTCATTGTGAGTGCGGGTGTTGGAATCTAGGTATGGAAGATTAGCTTCTTCTATTCAGCATCCATTAGTCCACAACAAATGTTCTTTGTGGTGGCGTGATTTGATGGAGGTTATTCATCAAGGGAATTATTGGCTGGATGAGAAGTTTGATAGGAGTGTGGGTGCATGTTTACACACTCTTTTTTGGAGAGATAAGTGGGTAGGCAGGGTGCAATTGTGTGAAGCATTTTCGTGATTGTTTGCTGTGGCGAGGAATGCTGAATCATGTGTATTGGAGAATGATTTTCATGATGGCACTAGGTGGGTTTAGGATGTTAGTTGGCGAAGAGGACTCTTTCAACATGAGATCTCAAACTTTAATCTTTTGTTGGAGCTTGTGAATGGAGGTTTTATTAAGTTACTACAAGAAGATAAATGGGTATGGAGGGCAGATTCTTCAGGTTGTTTTTCAGTACAATCTGCGTATTCATGGCTATTTGAACTTTTTGGTGGTTCTAATAGTGTAGATCAGTGTAGTGTACGGCAGATGCCTTGCAAAGGCTATGGAGAGGAAAAGTCCCTTTTAAGTGTCTGGTATTTTCTTGGCAATTGTTGCTGAATGCACTTCCTTGTAAGGCTTTGCTGATTGATCGAGGTGTTCAAATTGATGATATAACTTGTTGTTTCTGTCATAGTTTGGATGAACTTCCAACTCATTTTTTTTAACGTGTTCAGTTTCATTTCAAATCTGGTACTTTAATGCGCGTTGGCTTGAATTCTCATTGGTTTTGCCTTCAGATATATCGACTCACTTGCTTTCTTGGGTTGGTGTTGGCTATAGTAAAAGAGAAGAGATATGCTTATTAATTATTTACGTAAGTACAGTGTGGTCTTTGTGGTTACGTAGAAATAAAATTATATTTTCCAATGGTGTTTTGGATGAGAAAGAAATTCTAGATTATATTATTCTGAGGTCCTGGAAATGGCTATCACTTGTTAGTAAGGGAGAAACTATTTTGTTAGCTGATTGGTATTTGAACTCACGAAATTGCATCCGTCTTAGCTTTGTATAAGTATATTTTTGCTTTTTATTTCTCTGAGTTAGTAATTTTTTTCTGTATATATAAGTTTTGAGTTCCCCTTAAACTCTCTCTAATAATATATGTTTCGCTTATAAAAAAAAAATAACCACTAAAAATATTGTTGCAATTAATAACCAAATTAGTCACCGAAACTATGGTCACAATTAGCTATTAAAATAACCACCAAAATAATAGTCACAATTAGTCATCGAAATGGTAGCGACTAATTAGCCACGATTTTGCTATAGAAATTTGTTATGGCATATTTGTGACCATTTTGCGACCAAAAATTTCGTGGCTATAACCTTTAACTTTTTGTGACTAACTTTTGCAACCAAAAAATATTGGTCGCTAAATTTAAATTTTTGCAATGGAGCACTTTTTTTGTACTAAGAATGTTTGCTACCAAAGCTACCAATTTCATTCGATCGCTATTTTGATGGCTAAAATTTTTGTGAACAAATTTATAGTTTTAACTATCAAATTTGTTAGTCACTAATAGTTTTTTTTTTTTTTCTTTTTAGAAGTTAAATTTCAAAATAGTAAGACAAAGTGATAGGAATAGTAAGTGTATGAATCGATGACGTGTAAGCTTTTAAATAATCAATATATAAACTACATGATAATTTTTTTTAGATAATAGGTATCTTCCAGCTCTGTTCGAATTAAGTAGGACTACAATCTAGCACTCGAACTTGAAATTACATATTAAGTTGAAACAAACCCTTAACAGTTGATCCACGTGCTCAGGTATTCATGATAGATTATTTAAAATATAGGAAAGAATTCCCAAGTACAAAAAGGCATAAACCATAATTTTTTAATCAAAAAATTATTCTAATTTAATAATATATATAGTATACAATAATATAAAGTGCTAAACATATATATTATAGATAAATTATTGTTTATAGGTACTTTAAAATTATTATAACAACATTCATATTAATTATTTACATACAATTTTTTTATAAAATTTATTTTATAATAATCCATAATAAAGTATAACATATTAAAATAAAATATCCGTCCGTTATCCATGTTACTGACTAGTGTTATAAAATTTTAAATGTAAAAAATAAAAATAAAAATCAAATCAAGCTGCTGTCCGTTGATTCATTGCTCAATTGTTGCTGATACATGTCTTATTTTAACACACACATAAAAGAAAATGGGATAACTAATATTATAAAAAAAGTTAAAAATGTAAAATCTCATTTCTTATTAACTTAACCAACATAATATACATTGCCACATTATCAATTTGGTAAAATATACTGTGCCTTTTATAATTAAGAGGATTTGATACCCTCTCTTGTACGTAAAATAATATTCAGTATTAATTTAAAATTAATAGATAGTAAAATTATTGATTTAGTTAAAAAAAGGTTAATACTCTTTAATCTTTAAAATATTAAACAAAAATCATAATTGTTAATATAAAAAGAAAACAATAGAATACTCTTTTAAGATTACACGTAACAATCACCTAATACGAATTGTTTTTTTATATTATCTTTTTATTATATTTAAGTTAATATTTTTTTGTATTTTTATTAAGGGTATTTATATAATTTATGCATGTCATTGTATTAATTCAAAATTTTCAAAATCTATAATATATCTATTTTTATTAATTATTATGAAATATATTATATAGTATTAAAATATCCATATCGATTTATTATAATTAATTAACATGATTGAATATCAATTAAAATTAATAAATTATGAACCAATATATTGACTAATTTAATGTTCATGACACTACATCCAAGCTTTCTAAATTGATTGCATAAGAAGCCGAAGGGACGTTGCGTGTTTGTGATCACCAGGTATTTAATAAATTATCACACATGCATACATATACTTGGGGGGACAAGAAAAGACACGTATGCATTAAAAACCTTATCATTGAGAAGCTGTTCGTGAAGATCGACAATATATTTCTCGGTCATCCTTCTTTAGGGATTAAGTCGATGTTCCAATAATTGAGAAATTCCTAAACGCCTCTTACTAGAATTATAAAGATTGATTAATCACATTGCACCAATGCTAGGGCTTAATAAGTGAACCAACCACCTCGTTACAGGATTATGATGTACTCGTAATCACATTGCAACACTTTCGTGCGTCAAATCAAAAGTCATGCCGCACTTGCATGCCCCAAGCCACCAAATACGTCTTCTTTGCCCATGCTTTTGCTTATCTTTTCTTTGTGATTTATGAATCAGAACCAACATGTCCCTCCACACAGTTTCCCATGTCAGTCTATTTTTTCTGCATAAAAAGATAAATTTAATGTATTATATCGTGTATCATTTTTTTATTTTTAATTATTCGACCCTTTTATACACACGACTTAAAAATATATATACTTAAAAAATTTAAAATCTCAAGTGTTATCATCCAAAATTAGTGTTCACCAAATGTTTGTCAACACAAATTTTTCGACCCCTTCTTCTGTCTCTTACGCATCATTCACGTCACATGGCCTCTCTCGCCCTCGAGTCAACTTCATTGCCCACCATTTTGACATCATTTATGCTTCTTTTGTCATGTTTCAAAGGAGTGAGCGCAATTTATGATGTCAATTTGGAGAAGTGTCTAATCTGGCTTCCCATTGTTGCAAATTCAATCAGCATTTTCTTCTGTTTTCTCTGTGAGAAAGGAATTCGTTGAATAAAGTGGTTCCGCAGCTTCTTGATATTGGAGAAGGCACTCTTTCTAGCTACTTCCTCACAGTTCACCAAAATTTCCATCATAACTATTGTCTCTCTGTTAACAAGTTGCATTATTCAATTGCTAAACTTCTAATACTTCTATTGTCGTCAAGTGGATGATATACTGGATATAGGGTCTTGCTAATCTACACACAAATAATAAAAAAATATTAATTTTTTAACAATAATAATGCGATAAGATACATTAAAAATTGAAAATGCATTAATAATATTTTATAAAAAATAAATTTTATATTTTTAACAATCATGTTAGCGTTTGCCCATGCTATACAGTGGTCAAGCTAAGTAAAAGGCAGTTAACCTGAAAATAAAATTATGATCTGCAAATTAATGCAACTGCAGTTAATGAAACGCAAGCAAGATAAGAATTGGGTACTTTGTCAGCAAACGAAACTCCCGATCTCTAAGTGATAATAATGATTCGGAGAGACTTCATTGGAGTTAGGTACATCACCTAAAGCATTTTCTAGTTTCATTGCAATGAAAAACACCTTTTTATCATTGTTGTAATGAAAAATTAAGACATTCACCCACCCATCACATCCTTGCAGCAAATGCACTCTAACCTTAAACCTATCTGCCTTTCTGGGTTCCGTAAGTTATGCTATCACAGATTTTCGATGATTGATAGCTTAAATATTAAAGAGTTAATAGATAAATAAATTTAACATAAATTATAATAAAAAGATATCATTAAATTTTTTTAATAACAAATATAATTTTGATGTACTAACAGTGTAATGTGTTAAATAAATCAAAATACGTTGTAAATATAATTTTCAACAATTCTTGCCCGATATAGTACTTAATAATTAAATGTAATTTAAATTAAAATCTTTAATGCAAAAATATATTTTTAATTCTGTAAACAATATCCTTAATTATAATAATAGTTGGCATTTGAGTAACAATCTTTATCAAAAGGATTTAAAATAAAAGCACAATCGTACATATCAATGTTCCGTATTCTTCTTTTCTTCTCTGTCTATTAATGTGATATACGTTCCTTTTGAGGATATAACATCTTTTTGAAATTTATTCACAGTAACAAATACCTTTGTGCCATTTTAAAATGAAAAACTGTCAGTTGCAATTGGCTGGTATATTTCTTTTGTTTTAAAGTGGTTAACTCAGACGAAACGCAATTGCAA